ATAGAGCATTCTTCAGGTTATTCTTCTGGCTTGGGTATCGGGGCAAATCAGTCAAAAGTCTTGTCACAATCATAATCCCTCCCCCTTAAGGGCGCTCCGGCTCTTTCACATTTTAGTTGATTTTGTGCACCTGCTCCCTGTTCCATCCCTTCCCTACAAAAGCTAGACACTCACTCTATTCCGGGCTCTGCATTGGAAGACTGACGCCCGGAGGCTCGCCTACTACCAAGTTGCCCTATGTCTGTGGCTTGAGGGCATAGGCCTCCTATCGGCGTCCTGACTCAGCCGAGTCCGGGACTTGGAGTGCCTGGTCCCGTTATTTATCCCACTGACCCTTCACCGGATCCCGCTCTGCTTTTTAAGTCGTCGTGTTCTCGTTTGGATTTCCTGGTCTTTTGGATTATTGGACTCCGCCCCGGTTTTCTCTACGGATTCCCTCTGGATTGTGGCATGGACCACGATGGAGTCTTCTTTCCCCATGTTTGTTTCACTCTCTTCTGGATTCTGCTGTCTGTACAGGGTCTTGCAAGACGCATCATAACAAGTGTAGAATGTTTTATTTTTTCTTTCTCTCTTTCTGTGTGGAATTAACCTCACCTTTGTATGCTGCATGCTGTGTATCCTGTATCCTCCCTACTCAAACAATAAAAATCATACCAGTTGTACAGCATATGAGGAAGGGCAGCAAGGTTTTGGGAATATTACAAGATTTTCTTCTATTATGAAAGCAAAATGTGCTGCAACAGAAGACGAATCCACAAGAAAATGATGAAAGTGCTGTTAATTGCTTTAATATCTCTGATGACATGAGAGATCCAACGAATTGGCCATCCTCCTTTCAGTGAATACTTCCTCAAATGCCTCTGTGAAATGAGGATTGAAGATCAGTCGGCTTGGCACATCCCAATGGAATTGTTTTTAATTGCTATCGTATACAGTATTCATACAACAATAACACTCAGTAATTGTGATCTCTGGGAGTTTCATGTGACTCTGAAACAGTACCAGATGCAATCTATGATGTCAGAGGAAGTGGTCAGCCTGTACAATTGCCAAATGCTATCCATTGCTCACAGCTGAGCACCAATCCCAATAACAGAAAATGAAATTTAAATGAAAACTCCAAAAACCTAAGGTGATTGTAGTTCTTTAATATGTTGGAAGTATTGATTTTGACAGAGAAATGGAAAAACAAAGTTATATTTTCATCATGATTATAATCCTATACCTGATTTTCTTCCCTGTTTGTATGAATGGATGTGAACAACATTGAGGCGTATTGATTTGGCAAGTGAAGTATCTATTTCAGTTTTATTTTAGTTTTGAAGTGTTTCTTTTGATTGGAGGGAGGTGTCAGTAATTCGTTTTTAGTACAGAGAGTGTAAAGTGGAAAGAACAATAGGACAGAATCACCTAGAATTTATTTAAAATAGTCATCTGAGCCATATCAGGTTATGCTGGCTGCAGGGTCCTTTATATAAATGAGTCCTTGGTGCTGGATATTTTCATGAATGGGCAGATGTATGATCAGCTTTAATGTTATATGTTGATACACAACAAAAAATATAAGTTATGACATTAACAGCTCTTTG